AGGCCAAATTCTTTTCTATTTAGACAGTAAAGTATTTACTGCATATTTTTTCTTAAAAAAATTATTTGTGCAGTTTTAGATAGATAAAATGGCAGTATTGGGACGATTTGACGAAGGCGTCCCATTTCTTTAAGTTTTGCCATCGATTGGTGTTTTTAGAAATCCATGCATTATTGTCTTTTTCATTGTGGAAAAATGCATTTTGAAAAAAGACATATGACAAAATAGCCGAAAGTAAAAAGTAAGAAGGTAGTTACTGGTATTAGGATGAATAGCGCATAACGGACGATGTGCATTCTATACAATCACGCAGAACGCCAAGAGTGGACGATGAGAACAGTATGCAATGCATTTTTTTCATTGGTTTATTTCTTTGGTGTTTATCATACTTTTTGTAATTCTTGATGTGTTTAAATAAAATATTTATTGGGGTGTGTTTAAACTGTTGATCTTACAGAGGTTGATCAATAGACTTTATTCGGTTAACCTTTCGACGTCTTCGTCTTCATCAGAACCGATGATGAAGTGATTGAAATAGTGTGCATGTAATATTATTGAAATATCCATTAAGGTTCGATGCGCTGTGTTCTGAGATAGAATGCTAAAAATTTCTCAAAATCATACGTCTATGCTCAGCTTTCTCTTTGTTCAGAAGTGGAATGATACCTCTAAGACATCATTTGCTTTGCCTTTTTGTTAATGATACCCCGAAGAAGGGATTCAGTTATTTTTTCTGAAACATACAGATGGCATGACGTAAGTCATTTGTTCTAATGATGGGTGAAAGCAACACAAGCGGAGTTTGTTAACGAGACTGTTCTGTTTTCCCACTCGTTTTTTTCTTATCTTTAGCTGCCAGTGTGCCGTCGTTGCTGTTCAACCATGACTTCTTTTAGATTTTTGCAAAATCATTTATATGACACCGAGAATGTTCCAAATTGGTGTAAGAATTTGATAGGAAGCCCCTTATTGTCGTATAACGATGAGCATTTCCAAGATTTGGATTGGTATGGGAATTTTGTGGAAAATGTTATGAACCGAGACGAATGTGTAGCGGTTAGACTGACTTGCCATCTGGGCTCCACAGCTGCGGTTTCCGAGTCCTGCTGCAAGCCCCACAACAACCAACCGCCGCCATCGCCACAGCCGCAGCCGCCATCTGCGTTCCCCCTCCTCGCCCAACTCTCTTAGGCTAATCGGAACTGATTCAGTCACAATTCACTAAAAGATAGAAAAACTTGGAAATAACGTCTTGAAGTTGTTCAACTAGAGCTACCAAGAAGAATCCCTAAAACGATGAGCAACAATAGCGGCAGTGAACTATGTCTGCTACGAAGACGAAAGAACGTGTGGCAGGGCCTTTCAACAGATCATCTTTGAAGATTCATATAGGAGAGGAAGTAAGTCTTGAAAACGGAGAGGGCTGAGAGATCACTTCAAAGTGGCAGACTGACACAAAGATCTTCTAAAGAAAGCGAAAGACATGTAGAGGAGTCAATCTGAAGTTATTTTCATGATATTGGAGTGAAATCCTTTATGAATTAGATTTAGAAACCGTTCAAGATAATTTGCTAGAGTCGAAAACTTACGAAAGGTTATCTTGATCATGGAATCTAAACTGATAGGAAAATAGGAGAAAATGGCATCATTTCTTTCAGAAGGGCTTTCTTCCTAGTTAAACAGCACTAAAATGTACTGCATCTCTTATGTGAATGCCGATAGCCGATATGAGTATACTAGGTTGGTGTGAAGCATTTCAGAAAGTATAACGCCTTAATGTGATGCAGAACAGAAAAGCGATCTATCACGATAGCAGTGAAGATGATAAATGAAAATCGGAACGATAGTCGATTGAAATCCCTCGAGAAGAACAAGGCAGCAACAACGACAAATATCGACATTATGGAAGGATGGTGGTGTTTGCCAACCACGTGATCAAGTCGTATCCGCAGTTCATGCTTTTGTGCACCTTTTTCCTTATTTTTACTTTTTCCCTTCATCTACTTTCTTTTCTTCTCGTCTTTGCCCGTACGGAAACAAACAGAATTTTTGAGAGAAAGAAATAAAAGATGTAAAGCCAAATGTAATTAATGACTTTAAACACTGAACGGAAAGACAGAAAACGGTAAAATTGCAGTACTACGAGTATCTGTGAGATTCTTGAAGAAGTCCAAGCTTTACAGATGTAAAGAGATTGTAGAATAATTTTTTCCTCCACGTTTGGTTTCCCGTAGAAAAACCTTTTCCAGAACACTTTTCGAGAAATAACGATTTCCGGTCTAAGACAAGGAAGAGTTGAAAAAAGTTCGAAGATCAACTTATCTTGAAGATAATTTTTCTACTCATTACGTTGACCAGACGCTGGTTTGACGCCTTCTTGAGCTAACTAAACCGCTCATACTTCTGGGTCGGAAAATTGGTACCAAAATAGTTTGGAACAAGCTTACTACTTCCAATCCACGCATAAATGTCCCGGCACGCTACCTCAGCATTCACGCTAGTGTCCATCAGACCAATATTCAACGAAATTCGTGACGAATACGAAATAAATCCTCATGCAGCATCTGAAGCTACATGTGGAAAAGTCCGAAGAACGCCGTGGGCGGTGGATGCGAAGAAACGAATTGAATGCAAGTGCTGAAATTCGCGCAGTGTATATTAAGAATAAATGATAGAGAATAAACCTCTCGGCGTTGATCTTTCTACGAGAAATTCGTCATGCATTCCATCTCGTTAGAGGTGACTGACTGCATATCTGAACTATATAATGTTTCGCCGTGGCCTGCCGATCCATTGAGTTAAGATTTTTTTTCTCCCAGACAAGTCTTGTGCTAATTTGTCTACGCCGGATGGATTGAAAGCCTAGTGAACCTGGGGCGCCATTGCCCTACACGCGCCGCTTAGTAGATAATCTCTCGCCATTGTTAATACTACCACCACTACTACTAATAATAATAATAACAATAATAATAATAAAAATAAAAATAATAACAGTATTTCATTTCGTTTTCATCAAAACTTCAATGCGGGCTATACTTTAAAGTATTCGAACAACTGAATGCGGCAAACATCTTAATTATATAACAACATCTAAAATGGATTTACCAGGTGGTCGACTGTTTAATTTAAATCTTGTGCAACCAGAGGAATGCTGAAATTTGAGCAAAATTCGGAATCTTTGCTGGTTTTCAAACGTATGACCACCCTCATTGCCGTTTTACGTGTTATAGGCAGTAAATAAAAGTTAAAAAGTTGTGATTTCGCCTATTTCAGATTAACTAAGTCCAATCCCGATTTGTGCTTCGCAGATGATTCACACCATGGATCAGTTATTGATAGGATCGATAGAGTAAAAACGAGGCTATGAAAAAAGCAAGATAAGGCCGTCGGTCGGTGTGGTGAATGGCACGTTATCCCTCGGAAAGGCTTATCGTAGGTTCGAAGCGCAACCAACATATGCACTATGTATGCACACATACATATATATATATATATACATATATGTATGGAAAAGCAATGTATACATCTATGTATGTGTCAATGTGTATGTACGCGTCCGTGTGTGTATGTGTGTAAATAATGCACAGATATGTGTATGTATTTATGGACGTATTTATGGATGTATGCAGTTACACATGTATGTGTGTATACACGTGCAAATGCTCATGTACATACGTATACACCTATATATACATACATATATAAATACGTAAAATTGTTTTTAACTGACTAGACTGGCTGGTCCATCTGCTTAGTGAGGCCTGTTGCTTCATATGTTTGGCAGATGATATGCGTGCGCGCGCGGTTAGACACAGGTGCTGTTCCTGAATAGCCTCAGCCATCCGCTGTTAACCCTCCAGATGCTTTAAACCACAAATTATGGCGTTGATGGCGTGTACGTGTGTTTCGGTGGATTGGCCAGGTGACATGGTTGTGCACCACTGTTGTGGCTGCGGATCAACGCACTATGCATGACCAGGGTGCCACCGACACCTATTGGGGAGTATCTGCGCTGAAACTTGGGCCAGTTTCTGGCCCTAATATATTCCAACTATGCGATTGCATATTTGCGTTAGAAATTCGTGCTGAATGACAAAGAACACCAAGCAAAGAAAATGAAAGTCTTCGGCTTGTTTTAGTAACCGTAGCTGCGAAAGCTAAACGTTGTATTTCGATGTACCGCGACATCATTGTTCCATCCGAAAATTTGCTTGTTTATGGTAACAAGCGCGGCAAATGGACGAATTTCTCGTAGATCGGATGATCGGGGATGTTTCTCATGAGAATTTTCCCATAGTCCGTTCCTAATAGGGCACTTGGCGTGTCGGAGTCGAGTCATGAGACGGCCGGCTGCTGCTGACAGCTGCGCCTGGGAACGCGCCATCCGAGCGCCGTCTCCCGCATCGGCGGCGCCAGCTCATCCAGAGAATTCCGTCGCTGGGGGGTACCGTCAAGGTCAGTCAAAACTTACAGCCACGAGTCGTCGATATTTCTTCCAGAATGCTATGAAAGGCGATGTGAATAATTTCTTCGACTTATTTTTCTGCAAAATTATTGCACTGAGACTTAATTACACCGTTAATCGCCAGAACCAGAATATCAGAAGAATCAAAGGCAGTGGAATTTATCTAATAGAATTTTTGTATCATCTGGTCGTTTTCCTTAGATGTTAAAAATGTTATGTTCGCACCTCTCTTTTCTTCGGAACAGAATGCGGAAATGATGACCGAGATAAGTTTTCTATCAGCTTCCAACTTTTTACTGCATATTTTTATAAAGTTGTTTACTATTTGAAAATAAATTCAAGAAGTTTTCCTACGATGTCTAAACATTTTTTTGGCCCTGTAAAGAATTTATCTCCACTTCTTTCCATTTCTATTTCATTCTGTATGAAAATGCTTTTTCCCAGTTTTCAGAATATATCCAGAAAAACGTTCGGTTTTGAACGCCTGTGTAATGCCCTCACTTTTCTCACTCTTCTCCGACTTTCTAAAATTACACTATGATTTCGCCGCAGACACATTTGGAAACGGATGATTGCCAATGGCTAATGACAGATCTTCGTTGACGGAACAGAAGAAATCACGGCTGATGTTATCTACGAGAAGACGATGACAAGTCGTTGACACCTCAAAGTGACCGTCTCCGATCCAGTAAGACGTCACCAAAAGGTAATCAGCATTACGCCTTGTTGACGCCGCTGGAGTGGAATGATGCTGCAGGCGCGGAGATGACATTCCAGTCCCTCGGCCACCTCCTAGTCAACCGACGACCCGCTTGAGTGAACGGGAACGTCAGCCAGCCAGGCAGCAGATGATGTTACGATCTGGATCTTCGCAGGTGTGCCGTCGTTCGCATATGGCAAAACAGATGTCGCGTTTTTTGAAGAATTTTCCCTCACCATTTCAAACGATCTACATGTGTCCAACGACTGCTGCTGCTGCTGCTGCTGCTGCTGCTGCTGCTACGTATGTGTTCGCAAAATGCAATCTCATTCAAAAAGTGATTCATCCACTCCACAGAAATTCGTCCAACGATATCTACCGTATGTCCCTATGCAGCGTATTTCCTTAATTCATGAGCAGACGTGCATCCATATTTTAAAGAATATAGGAAAAGAAAATAAATAAAATTAGTTTCCTTATGATGGCATGAATTTTTTATTTTTTGTAGCTTTTAAGTCCGTTCTTCCGGAGCCGTGGGCAAATGAAAACACCCTATATATTTTCAAATTTCCTTCCTGAAACTTTTATTCATTCTCCACCGATAGAGCTTTTTGCATAGAATTTCAAAAAAAAAGAGGAAGTACGTGAGAACTAGCTGCTCTCAGTTATGGTGATCCTCTGTTTTGTTAATGAGAAAACACGAGGCTATTAACAGCAAAATTTATTCAGTACAACCCTGATTGACGTTCTCCTTTAGAGTCGTTTTGTTGCTTTCAAGTCCTCTAGTTATTATTGGAGGCTAGCCTCAAAAGGCTAGCACGGGTGAGATCATGATATTTTTAAGCTAGACCGGCTATCGAAAAACGTGCGGTCAAGGATAAATTTCGAAAGTCTCGTGAGAAACTTGAGCGCTATGAAGATGAAGAGAGATAAGAGGAAGATTACTCGTTCAAATTACAAGCGCCATGGGACACTTAAATTGAACCACAAAGTCGAAAAGCTTGGCGAGTGATTGGGTCCAAACAAGCTGAGCGAGAAGCAACGAAATTGCGTTATGAAGTGTTTTAAATTTTGTTGGTGACCAGAAAAGGACCCCTTGCTTATTCCTACAATGTAGTGGACTAAATGTGAACTCATTTAGATTATGGGAGTCCGCGATCTCGTGAGATGGAAATGAAGCACCTAAAAACAATTCGCTAGAATGTTACATCTTAAAGAGGAATTTTTGAATTTTTTGCAGTGACAAAAATGCCTCTCGTTCTGCTTAATTCTCATCATTGCTAAACATCGATAACAATGCAACCAACGAATAGCTTGTAATGGGTCTAAGTAATGGATAGGCTAAAATGGGGAAAGTTGGGCCAGCAAAAAAGAACAGTGCCGCCAAGTAAGAGAGATTGATTATTATGGTTTTATAGAACTTGTGAGAATTCTGATTAAGCAGCTTAGACTACTAGGACAATTTTGGCATGTAGATTAAGCTACAGTAATCCGTCAGTAGTAAAAAACTGATCGTCTCCACAAACATATGCCGGCGACATTTTGTTGTTGATAGGCAGAAGCATCTGCCAGGTGGTATGGTGTCAGGCCAAAAACACTACAAATCACGACGAAACACAAGGAATTACTATGCTTCATTTGCAGAATTCTAGGCGGTCCTATCGTTTTTCTTAGTTATTTTTCACGAGTATTTTTGACACATTTACCCAACTGGGTAGGAGGAACACGTTGTATCCATACTGTCTTCAATATTTGAAGCACTTATAAATATTTACAGGATGTCTGTATAGAATAAAAAGCTGGAAATTTCTTGCACATGTTTGGCAACTGGTCCGGTCCGACAATAAATTTATTATAAATATATTTTTGTTAATATAAGCGTAAGTAGCAGAACAATGGCCAATAGCTAGACTTCACACGAAGAACCCGTTTCACCGACAAGATTTCTGATTTTATTCATTATTTTTTTCATTGTTTTTCTCGTATTTTCTTCTTCTACTATTTCCCAGTTATATTTGAATCTAAAATCTACCTTCTTCTGGTCCTCAAATTTTCCTACTTTCATTTTTGACTCTCATTCGTCTCTGCAAATCGTTCCAACTATTCCATACGTGCTAATTTGGATATTTCAGCAACTCCCCTCTCCCGAATATCTTGTAAGTAGCACAGTTGTTCAGAATCATCCTATCGCCCCCAACATTGTTAAAGGAGCCAAAAATAAAAAGAACAAGGATTTTCGAAATATTTGCTAAGTTACCCAATCTACAATGTGAAAAGACGATGAAGCAGCACCGAGTAGCGCTGAAGTGAAACTACGTAACCACTCAGAACTCTGAGGTGCTGACAATGGGAGTGTTAACAACAATGACATTTTCTCTTTCATGCAATGGTAGTTACTTGGAAGCCTTGTTAAGTGTCCGAAGCAGGTGTGGTGCGCCATTCTTCGAGGTTGCTGCAATGGCACATCCGAACAATCCCATACGATATGCATATGGTCCGAAGTGGTGTGTCTATCATGCCGACACTTCAACTGACCGACGAACTGACGGACGTCGTACTCGGTCGGTTACTCCACCACAGATGGCCACCATCATCAAAAGCGTCGCTACAAGGAGCTGGATTTTGTGACTGAAGACGTTACTATAGATGGTCATTGTCTACATTATATGATTGCACTAGTAACAATCTAAACGTAGTTTGGCGCTTCGTTCAGCGAAACTTCCAAAAAGTCCCATTTTGAACTACATCATTATGTGGCTTGTCATTCAATGATTACTGTTTAAAACCAGATGTGTTTCTTTCAAGAGGATCCACAGTGGTAGCTCCAATTTAATGTATATGGTTCCAAACATTTTTACATATTGTTATCAAAAAAATTTTTGGTTCTAATCAGTTTAACGTACAAAGTACGGAAAATGGACCATTTCTAGTTCGTCCTTGGTGATCTTTTCCTCTTATCGGAAAACATTTTTGTAGGATGTGTGAACGATAGCCGTTCTACAAATCCGCTTCCCTCAAGCCCCTCCGTTCACTTCCATAGTGGCCGAGGTCATAAAAGGTGCAGGCAGCTGAGCACATGGTGACTTGATTCCGGAATCAGTAATGCCCTGAGGCTTGAGGGTGTGCCGCTGTCGGCGCAATTAGTGCTTCAGTGCCAGCTGTCTCCACTTTTCCCTCTCCATTCAGTTCCAGCCAAGCCGCATATGGCGCTTCATATAGGAATCCGATTGCATGCATCCATCCATCCATCTACTAGCAAAGAGCATTCACTTTAAAGTGATCAGAATGGACAATCAAGTATGAGCAGAACTACAGTGTAGGAGGTCGCCCATGTTTCAATTTTAGAAGTAAAGAATAATACCTACAATGCGTCGATTTCTTTACCCACGTTTGCCACCCATATGAGGAGCGGATTCTGACTATACCAGGAAATAATGGAAATATAGCTCTAGAGAAGGCTCTACAGTTTTTTAAGCCGAAACCAAGCGGTTCGTAAAAGACACTAAAGAAAGTCGCGGAACAATGGATGTTGTGCATTCATTGTCAAAAGATGTTAATTTTTCTTGGTCACCTTTCTCATCGTATGAAGTTTTTAGGAAAAAAGTTAATGAATAGATTGTCGAACACAGAGGTCATAATCCACATAATATCTACCAACATTAAAAACATACGTATTGATTTTGCCAAAAAATGTCAGAAATCTATCAAAGTCGACATGGCAGCTTTAACCTCGAACCTGGTTGAAATGGATAGTATCTCGAAAATGTACTGCTCTAGTAGCTTCCTGTAACCCGATTCGCCCACTTTCATCACTTTCTTTATTCGATGCTATTCTTGTTTTCAGATGAAGCTCAATTTTTTTGCAATCTTCTATGCAGAATCTGACTAGTTGCCTTTAAAATGAAGAGCACATAGGCAGAGTTTCAGTCTTTTGAGTTTAGATGACAAAAATGCACATCACTTGCTGAACACCATTTTCTAAAAGTCTTTTCGAACCGCTAACCTTAAGCCCTACATTATTTGCATGGACAGGCTTACCTTAACACACTAGCAAATCGTGAATATTTTCTAGGTTATATAGACTTGATGACAAAAACCGACTTTTCTGAGCCAAGCCTGAAAAGCTAAGGCGATATTGGTGAACAAAAATATCTCTTTTAGTCTAAACCAGAAGTTTCCGACTGTGCAGCTGAGCATGTGCCTGAAAAATCACCAAACCCTCTCGTAATGGGGTTTAATTGAAACGCTGTTATAACTGGCTAACGGTGCTTCAAAGACCATAGCGTATATATTGGACACCTGGGCAACGCACCTGCGTACTCAAATCGAAAATGATCACCACCGAAGGCAGACACATGCAAACCAGACGACACACACACACCTCAACACCCAACAACAAAAGACCAGCGGAAGTGCTAATCATCTCGTATACCGCCTACGGTGGAAAAGATCGTTCCCATATGGGTAATTCACTTTTCCACCTACCACAACCATCAGATTTCGTGGTACAGCAGTATATTTTAAGCAATATTTGTCACTTTCTAACAAAGAGTATATGATAGAGGTTACGCTGATTATTCCCATATAAGAAGATAATGAATCGATCACATTTCATACCGTCTAAGATTCTGGGAACAAAAGCGTAATTTAAGGAGTATTCTTGATTTTGCAATAAACTTATAACGGTAAGATATGGAAAACACTTTTATTAACCTAGATGATTCCTATAATAACGGCTACAGAAAGCTTGCTCACCCTCCACTCTTCACAGGTCACTAGTTTTTTGTCCTCAGGAGTGAAAACGAGTAAAAATAGTTACAACAGTAATAAATCACATGAAATGAGCAAGAAGTCGAGAAAAGGACTTTATAAAGATGAGTTTCCACAAGAGTACCTTATTAAGAGATAAAACTCGGTAGCAAAATTCATTGACGTTATTCGTTGATTTCACCTCAGAAAGATATTCAGCAGTACCTATGAGACTGTTCTTATCGGGAAATGTTTTTTCGACTCCTCTCATGTGAAGAAGAAGTGCTCACCAAACGAGAACACTTTCCAAACTTCAGAAAAGAAAGAAGACAGAAGAAGGGAGAGTATGAAATCTGGAATATCTCTAGAAATAAGGCCATTTTTTTTGGCGACCACCTTCGGCTTTCTCCGAGGACAATTCGACGGCAGCGGCGGTGAACTACTGAGGAATTTCACTTATTCACTTTCGCTCAAAACTCTCAGTTATCGAAAGTTTTCGCGCACCGAAACAGATGTCACCGAGGTCATCGTTCTTCTAAGAAATATTTCTACAATTGTAAATAAACTTTCAAATATTTTAAAATAGTGCAATTTCTAGTTTTTAATTCGTTTATTGTTAAAATAACCGATTTATTCACTTGTTTATAAAGTATTCTTCATGTGTTAAATTCAAGCAGAAGAGCAGAAAGTCGTAGTAATCAAAAAAGTGTTTAGTAGCAGAGAGATGCTGGCATTGAAAAACAGTAAGAAATATACGAAACAGCTATAAATAAGGATAAAGCACTCGGCATTGATCAATCCCTGAGGCATTGATGCGTCATGCTGTCGACTTCATTAAGCATCGTTTGGAAGTGATTGAATGCATATCTCGCCTTAACAATGACCCGCGGTTGCCCACCGATGTATCGAGTCAGTATCGCTATCCTCCCAGACAAGTCTGGTACCAATTTACGGACTACGGAAAGATAGAAGGCTTGGTGGGCCATGGGTGCGGGGATCCACTCCACGTGTGTGTTGCAGGGCGATTTCGACCACTGCGTCACACGAGCCCTGAAATAGCTGTAGATGCACTGAATTAGTTAGCTCACTAAATAGTTTATTAAACTGAAAAAACAAGTCTTTTCGACAACTTAGGGAGTTCGGAAGAAAAATACCACTTCTTGTCGTTTGTAATCTTTTCTTAGTAACAAAATAATTTTTTGAACTCAGGCTTCCTTTCATAAGTGATAGATTTTTTCAGAAGATCAATAAAAAATATCGCCTACAAAAAAAACAAGGCGTCTGTTTGCACGAGCAAAGCCTTTGAAAAAAATAATGTTATAAAAGACATTAATAAGAAAAGATTTTTTAAGTGACGGAGAAAACGAGCTACTTTTAGCTAATTAATCTTTTTTAACTTTATGCGATTCCATAGTAGCTTCGTAGCATTTATCGCTTAAAGGACAAAATTTTGCACTATTTTCTCTCCACTAATGAAGTGCTATAGCGCAGTGCAACCGATCACAATTCATTTGCAGAAAGCAAATGGTTCGGACGCCGTTCTCGTCGAAACTGTCCATCACGTCAGAGTCTCCCAAATCCCTATCAAAGCAATCCGAAAAGCACAAATTAGTGACGTTCGAAATTTCTTCAATTGTCCGCCAGCAAAATCATTGTAAAAGTTTAATTCAAACAATCATTATGACTTGGATCAGCGCTCCAGGCTTACATTTTTACGTTTTTTTTTGTTTGAAACTACAAAATTAAGGCCATAGTGTTCAGAAGGAAAATTGTCCGTTACCGTCCTATTGAATGAAGTCGTTCAAGAAACGAGCTTATAATTTTAAATTTTTTTCAGTGGAATTATTAGTTATTATTTGACGCAACTAACTTTGGTTTCATTGTTTTCCCTTTATATTGTATATTCAAGAAAGGCTTGACAAACTCCGGGTTAAGACTGCGTATTACGTTACATATAGATCCTTTGCTGCTATGCGCTAAAATTGTACTGCTCTAACGTCGGCTAGGAGATTTGGTAGGTTCCTCAGATTTTTTCCTACGCCTTTGGCACAAAATGTTTTTTCTTGCGGATTTTTAAACAGCACTCATCCAAATGAGACTAATATCATCCCATTTGCAGAAGAAGTTTGCCTTTGTAGAGTCGAGGATTCATTCCGAACAGACCGGACAATAGCAGCTGACCGAAATTCTTCCGTCTCCGTTGTTCCGTCGAGGCGGCGGCGAAGGCGGCCATCACGTGTGGCCGCGCACCTGTGAGCGGGCGTGGCCAGACGAGAGGGGGCGTGGTCGAGTTCTACTCGCCATCCGTCCGACTGGCGAGCATTCCGAATTCCACCGATCTCCAGGAGCGTCTGCTGTGTCCTCTTACACTTCTGAAGACCATTACACAACGTAACCATGAAGGCTATGCATAGAGAAACTCGTCCGACTGCTCCACTCTCACCATCAGGACGAATTCGTAAGTCATCAGCTGAACGAAAGGAAAAACTCAAGGTGAGTATTTCGAAGCCATTCATTTAGAATTATTTAAAACACACGTTATCGAATACAGTTTCGAAAAGCGATTATTGGAACCTTGTACAAATGATCTCATTCTGCATCCTAAAATTATCTGTGCATGATCTTCAGAGTTAAAATCTTTTCGGTAACTTCAGTTCCACGTCGAAAGCTTTTTCTAAGTTTTGTTGTGAAAAGTCTTAATAGGCTTCATTTCCTTCTTGACAAAGTAAATGGCACACAAATATCCAAGGATTTGACGCTGTTTTCTTATTTTATAAATGTATTATAAATTATAAAAACCTTATAAATTATATAAAAACCATATACAAAATTTCTTCTACCACTCATCTGTGAACTTATGAAATAAAAAAAGCTATAGAACAAATTTCTTCTTTTTTGTCATTGTGAATGTTGATAAAGTACAGTAAACCTGAATAAAAGGATCGATATGCAGGACTTTTTAGGTCGAGTCAACATTACGTCGCCTTGTCGGCTCGGACGAGGATAGTTCTCAACTGGAACTTGTTCTGTCCACAATTAGATACATACGAGAGCTGCAGTCTCAGCTAGAGAACAACAAAGAGAACGAACTTCCCGACGGACTGCAGGATCTGTTGGCTCAGTGCTCCGTCAGCAAGCCTGAAGCCGCATAGCCAACCTGATGCCACTAACTGACCCACATCGGATTGCTAAGGACGTTTATAATAGTAGCAAGGTCAAAAAGCACGAATCGGCATGGCACAGCTTTTTTATGAAAATCGGGTATTTGCTGATGACATCGTGTCATGTAGCTGTTGTTTGCGTTATTTCTACGCAATTGTATATATTTGAGACTATCAACAGAGCAATAAACTTATTAAAGAAAGCCGTTGTATTGTATCAAATGGTTATCCTGAATTTTTATGGATAATTTGCAAAAAGAAACATAGCCTTGTTGTATTTACTATCTCTCCACCTTCCCACATTACCTTGCCTACTAAAAGATCGTGTTGAGCATAGTACCGGTCTCCATTTTACTGGTGTTCTACCAAATTGGACTGGTTTTCTCTATCACTGAAATCCCTTTGTTTGTCATTCGATCTTGTTAAAATGCAAAAATTAAGAATTAACGTAGGACCAGTTAAAGTCCTTGTTTTTAGCTTAATTAAAAATTGTGTGGAGCTGTTCCCCATACGAATGTCCCTCGTCATCAAAATGTGCTTAGCAATGGCGGGTCGAACATCCAGATCATCAACGCTAACTGGATTTCCGTCACAGGCAAATGAGCATTAATCAACATACTCACAGCCACAAACGTACTCAAACGTGTGAGGTAGAATCGTACTCAGTGGAGTTCATATAGGTATTCATCTACTTGACAGCCTTTGGTAATGACTTCCAATCGAATATTTTTGATATTAGAATTAAAATAAAAAAGGATGGAACTCTCAGTGTTGATCAATCCCTGAGGAATGCGCTATGCATTCGACCTTAACAGGCATCGTCTGGAGGTGATTGAAGGCATATCTGGCCTCTACAACGAGTCGCGGTGGTCTACCGATTTTCCAAGTGTATGTTGAAGGGCGCCTCCGACCACTGTGTCACGAGCGCGACACTAGAATTACATCAAAAAATCATGTGTCATTCGTTTTAACCACTTATACTTCATGCTTTCCAAACTTTTCATCTACCAGTTCCATTCAAACAGCCAAGGAGAATAAATCGAATCGCACAATTTGTATATGACAAGATCTACAAGTTGACGGGCATCTAGCTATACAGCGAAGCGGTATGAGCGTAATCGGATTTGCACGATTTCGTTCGCTATGTAGTAATAACGACGATCACTAATGCGATTTGGACAAGTTTGTAGGTAGTAATAAATATGGTCGGCATTTGGCGTACGTCTGTGTCTGTGACTGTCTGCCTGGAATAGGCCGAATTTCTGGCTGACAGCTGCGACGCGGGCAGATGCCGCCTTAGGCGCCAACAGTTGGCCGGCAGCTGAGAGGGCACAACGCCATCGCACAAATGGCATCTGAAGACGCCACACACGCATCGGATTAGACGCTTCTGTCTCTTGCACTCTTCGTTTTTCTCAGAGTCTACTGAAAACCATATTTTTTAGTTCTTAGTCTGGAATTAGTTACAGTCTAGATGGGCGACTCTCATCCAGGCGTTGCGCAAATAGTTCCCACTTTGACACTTTTTGTTGGGTTTCAAATTTCGGAATCGGTCATTGTACACCAGAACTGCATATTCTTATTATAACTAAAGATGCGCAACGAAATTTTAAGCCGTCTTATGTTTTTCCTCTGTTCGATTTTACTGCGTTTCCACTGATCTGTCGGTCTCACAGGAGAAATTTCCAGACAGTCAATCCAAAAGGTACCTTATGTGTTCGCAGATGGCGGATAAGTGGCTGAACGTGCCTCAAAAGTGACCATGTGCTTGCGACGAGGCGCAGATGGGCTCAGGAGATGCGCTCCTTGTGTTTGCCGCTCCGGAATAACTAACACCTTTCACACTGCAGGTGATGCCACATCCATGCAGATGTGCGTGATTTATCTCAAATGTAACCTATCTCAAATCCAGGTTTAATTCTTTACAAATCTGCAAAAAAGAAGCCGAAAATTGATTCCACTATAAAGGACAAGGTTCAGGTTCTCCTCTAGCAAAGAGGGTGCACGTTACCACAAAAAATCAGGGTGGACTAGGCGAGAATGCGCTTATTTCTTACGGCAAAATCTGGTTGATTACCTGGGGCAGCGTTTAAGCACCTCTCGTGAAAGTGGTGATGCTCTTCATGTCTCACGGCTCAACCGAACCCAGTGGCCAGCTGTAGCGCCTAGGGATGATAGATGGATACTTCATCTCCGACGATCCAAGCCGTTCTAACCAATACTTTACTATTTCATCAATTCATTGATAGAAACAGAAGGCAAAAAAATACTACATTGAAAATAAAAGGACTTGTGCAGAAAGTGTTTTATGTTGGGCGATAAATAGGTTACAGGTGATAAAAGGTAAAATGGGTTGCAGAAAGTCGATCCAATTAACCGACTCACAAGAAAGTACTACAATGTATTTTTCTTTTTTTCGGCGAGTATTTCTATTTTAATCTTTATTTTAGTTCTATTTTAATAAATAGCGACGAGTTTAAACGAAGTTAAAAGTTCTCAATTTATTTTTCTGTTAACAGCTAAAATTGATAACTTAGGAAAAGAGCAACTGTCGTTAGAGTTTGGCAGTGATGGAAACGAGATTTCTATATCAAAGAGTGGTTGACGTCACGGTAGGAAGAGCGGTAGCCGGGTTAAAAGTAAACCGGAATCAGGAGTGACTTAGGGAGCCTGGAGGCAACGTACTCTCACTATGACAGATCTACCATCGATCCACAAGGACTGAAGACAGGTGATAATGACTATGGAGAGCAACGGCTTTCATGAAACAAGAAACAAAATAACCACAACGACGCTGAGATATTCGCAAAACTTGAACCCCGGGCAAGATCGAACCACGATTTCCATTTCCAAGGGCACGCTCATTACACACTGCTTCACGGAAGGCCTTAAGAAGCAAAATCGTCTTCAAGCAGCAAATCACCCTTCTTGGTTACCGACCAGCGTGACTTTTCGTAACGATGAAAGCCTCTCAACTATTCGAATAGTTCAAAAGAAAAAAACTAAAGAATTAGCTGCGCTAGAAGAATTCTTAGTTGCCTCTGCCTCTGACAGTCACTAATGTGGTTTAAAACGCTACAGTTCAGTATGAATCACTGAAATTGTAGACGTATTTAATTAGAGATTATCTAAAGCTGGAGATTCGTCGCCTTCAAATCTATGGGAAGATACAGGCACTGTAATAGACCGAGTTTCCATTTTCTGTTTAAGAACACACCATTTTACATTTAGATTTCATTTAATTTATATTACAGCGCTGCTAAATGTTTTTTTTCCGTCTTACCAATGCAAGTGGCATAAATATTTCCCGTTTATACTTTTCAAAGCGACCGTCATTTAACCTCGACGCTATTAATTAAGACCAATCCTGCTCAGAAGAAAGCGATTGCGTCGAAACGCTAGCCGAATGAATCGTTCCTATCAAATTTTTGCTAGCTTAGTAACCTAGGAAGGTATTCCGGATTATGTTCGATTTCATATAGGACGGCAGCCGTTGGTGCTTCTGGTGTTGCAGCCGTCGTTGCAGGTGGGCGAGACACCTGCAGTGACTGGCTTTGAAAGCTGACTGACTACTTCAAGTTCATCTGCTAGTCATCGACTATGGTAATTTTAATAGCGGTTTATCTAAAATTCATCTAGAAGAAAAAACACGTGCACCTGGTTTTCGTCGAGATTGTCAGTATTCATGAACAAATGTCGAGCTAACGTAGCACCATGTCTAAAAAAACTGTTGCGAAAATGAAATTAGCCTAAGAAAACAGTAAGGTATTTATTCTATTGCTAACCGAAAAAAATCGACACGTACACAATATCTTTCCTAATTTATAGCCTTTCTCCTCTCCAGTGAAAACAGAAGACTGGAGATGATTTTGCGCACGTTGAGTGGGATGCTTGGGTAGGAGGGATGGGAGTGGACTTTTTAACCCTTTAGGAGCATTCGTCCAGTATGCTTACAGTTGACGCTTTCCTGGTAGCAATAAACGTCAATTTAATAATAGAAGATTAAATGGAACAAAGGACAAAAATAGTTCGTTTCGTTTTTTTTTGCATTCGTTTTATAAGTTTAGAATACCATTAAAGGTATATTTATAACTGAATGCGCCTTCACCGCACACAAATTAGAACCATTGGAAAGTTATTTGTAAATAGGTGGGATAAAGTTTAAAGCACTAATCAGCTGTTCTTTAGCGCTCTAATAAAAGTACGTTTCATTTTGGATGTCAGAGAAGAGAAAGAAATAGAAGAAAAGGAAAAGGAAAAGGAAAACAACTTCAAGACTGACTGTTCGGCAGTGAAGTCACTAGGAACAAATGCCATTATATGAATCTTTTTAAGCTCTTCTTAGAAACAGTAGTGCTTTTCTTAAGCTTCAGTGGAATGTTTTCCTTTACGAAATATAACTACATTAGTGGATTTCCTTTTCGAGGAAAGATAGGTTTGGTGACTACCATGTGTTGTATGTGTGTGATTTCCATGGGACAGACGTTGATTCGTGGCGACACAAGGAGCCAGAAGGACTGGAGCAAATCGAATTGACTCGATCCACAACACATTGTTATGACAGATTGCGTGGCTGGTTGCCAGCACAATCTCGACTGGCTACAATTGGCGCTGGTATAGGCACTGGCGCGCATGCTATTCGTTAGTTAGCTTGCCTAGTGTGATGGTCAACTTCAACTTGGTTATGACAAGGACTGGAATGGCAAGTCAAGTCTCAATAGAACGGATACCGCTAAATTTTTCATTCGTTTCGTAGATTCGGGTACTTAAATTAGTATCAGTTTCTTATTCTCGTTAATCGCCGAGTTTTTCATCTTAACTCTTTTCAGTTCTCGCCAAGCGTTAGCACCTGGGTTTTGATTGGTTTAATATAGAAGTTTTTTCTAGCGTTTTGAAAGGGGTTACAAAGGAAAAGCCTCGAAATGTGAATCCCTAAGAGTGCCCTTTGAGATTTTATCGACTTTGTGTTTACTTGATAAATGTATCGAAATGATACTCATTAATCATAAATATTAAGTATAGTTGTTAGGTCAAATCACTAGGCAAGTCTTCTGGTGGAAAAGGAAGCAGTACAAAATATGTTGCTCTGTGGAAAACGACTTCTAACAGCAGGAAACCCACATTTAAGAACTACTCTTCTACTGTAAATCTTCTGTCTTCTGATCGTTTACGATCGCCCTTTCCACTTATGTCCAGACTCAAGTAGAAACATTTGTTGCTCATCGCTGGCCGTTTGGTCATGGTGGTGGCGATAGGGGATGGTGTGGATGGTGTTCCGTTGGTGGACAATCTGGCATTAGTGTCAATAAGGCACACACACCCTCACACTCACATACGTTACCAGCATCTGTGACACAGACGGTTCTCGTTGAAATTACGTAAGATGCTGTGATGAAGGCATAGGAGCAGATGAAAAGCAGAAGGTAGACGAGCCAGCCAACCATTAAGAACATGTGCACGCCTGCGGACCACATGGTAAGCTTATAGAACACGTTCGCTCGAATGCAATGTGCGACCTAACCACCGCATATACTACTCGGTGTTCTTCTGGTTGGGGACGTTAAGGTTATGATGCCAGCGTTAGTGATGTCAACCAATATCTCAAGAGGACGTTACGCCTTCAACTGCACTTGACTTAAAGATTTATTTTATTACTGTTCATTCTTTTTTGAATGTTCCGGCATCAAATACTCTGCATGGATCCCAGCATCGAATGTCTTGAGATTTCTGTGTAGGTTCAACTTTCACTCGAGGTCTTCGCCCCCTTCATGTACACAGCTAAATTTTGGTTGATTCGATGCTCCTATTAACCTTGGAACAATTTCACTGGAGAGTTATAAGGCATTCACCGCAAATGACGCATGACCCCGTGGCTCGAACAACGCTCTTCCAAAGCTGCTAACAATTTCGCGACAGCACAGAGATGGAAAATTCTCGTTAGGGTGTTGTACCAGCGATTACACGTGTATTATTGCACGGCATCTTCTATAAGCACTGCGCTCGAACCTTAAAACATAGAAAGGTGCATAAGATAAAAACTCTGCGCAGCACGGAAATCTTAAAAAATATGCAAACATAGATATACATATATACCTATATATATGTCACCCTTAACGCAGTGGTTAGAGACCCCTTGCAATACACATGAACTCGATCCCGAGCCAGACTCACCAAGTCTTCCATCCCTCCGTGTTTTGTAAATTGGTACCAAACTTGTCTGAGAGGATAGCAGCACTAACTGGATACATCACTAGAATACCGTGAGTCATTGTATAGGCCAGATATGAGTTCACTCACCTCTAACGATGCTCGATGAAGTCGAAAGCATGGCGCATCCCTCAGAAATTGATAAACGCTGAGAGTATATATATATACA